CCAGTGGTTTTAAGCCCTACTATTTTTCTTGCAGCGGTTCTAAAACCGCTACATATCCGCTGTAATTGTAATACGATGCAATGACATTCCGCAGCGGTTCAAGAGCCGGCGGGGTAGAAATGCTAACTTTAGCAGCGGTTATAACCGGTGCAAATATCCAGAATAGTGCCAGTTATAACCGCCACAAATAATGCAAAAAAAAAAAAAAATGATATCCAGTAAGGTGGCGGTTTTAATCGGTACAATTCGCGCACATATATCGAGAATTAGGGCAACTGACGGAGTTTAGCGGGGGTAAATGAGGAGTTATTTGCATCGGTTAAAACCGATGCAAAAAGCACCGGTTAAAACCGGTGCTAATTGCACCGGTGAAAACCGGTGCTAAAAGAGATTTTTGGAAGCGGTTCTAAAACCACTCCTAGCAACTGGTGCAAAAAATTAAACTTTCTAGTAGTGTACATTAATTGCTATTACAATAAAAAATTAACTATTTATTGATTTTTTTAGAAGACAATTATCACTAATCACAAAGTTGACATTGCATAGAGAGGGAGAGAGAGTGATAAATAATATATAATGACATTTTAATTTTATTATTATTTTTAAGTACTATATTTAATTACAAATTCTTATGTGCTCATTTCCCATGCAAGTTGAAATCTCTGCATTATTGAAAGCAATTTTTACTAAAATGTGTTATAAGCTAAACTCAAGTTTTTAAAATCTTCTTCAAAGTGAAATTTATTTATTTTTTATGTTAATGTTATATATGATATGATGAAGTCCATAAGCATCTTCAACCACCCAACAAAGGCCATGACGACATATGATATGTTAAATTTTGCGCTATTATATTTCATTTTAACTTTAGTGATAGCTACTTTAATTATTTTTTCATTAAAGAATTTGGCTATTTATTTACCTAACTTATGGGACTTTAATGATCACTCATCATAGATAGAGAGAGAGAGATGCTTTGATATCAGTAGCTAGATTGAATATTGTATTTATTCACGTGATCATAAAACTGTGTCGTCGCACCTGATGGCTGACACCCCTTATTTATAATTGGGAGCAAGGCCAGTGCTACGATATAAGAAATTAATAAAAGTTACATTCAATTGATTAGATTAGTAAGTAGTAATCGGGCGATCATCATCTATGAATTTCATCATTATGAGCAAATCTTCTGGTTGATAAAATCACAAAGTTTAACATAGTTTGACATCATTGAAGCATTGACGACTAATGCAAGTCGATTAACATAATTGATCAACTACTGCTTAGAGACCAAATGCATTTACATGGAAGTGAGCAACAAACAACTAAACTATTTGACAAATACCACTTGTCAACTACGAGGGCAAAATACGTAGGAGGTTTGGGTTGAACCCAACATACTAATAAATGAATAAATACCAATTTAAATTTTTAAATCAACTGATATCAATTATTAATATTATATAAAAAATACAGCTTTATTTTAAAATTTTCACACAAAACTATGGCTTCGTTTGATTCAGCTTTCTTACTGTTTTTTTACTACGTTAAAAAAATCGTGTTAGAAAGCTACTTTCTACAACTTTTGAAAAAGTTGATTTTTCCCACTCGAGATTTATAACAATCTTTATAAAAAGTTGCGATCATCTCAAACATATCTTATATTTTACTCTTAGATCATCAAAGCATAGAACATAGAGTCATTATCAATAGCCAGACGTATGTAGCAATCAATTAGAATGTTACCTCATGAAAATAAAAATTTAATGTGCCAAAGCCCAAAGGTTAAAAAGTGGAGCGAACATGAAGGACAAAACTGAAGGGTACCGATCGAGGCCCGCCTTCTGTCGACGATTAAGACAGCACCAGTGGGGTTTAGCCTTTTTTAAATAGTTTAAATAAAAATGTTTTCGTCATTTAGTTCGTGCTAGAGGAGTTCTGGGGCAGTTGACCATAATGGACAGCACCAAATCAGATAATTACTTCCATGTCCATGTTTCTTTTTTCATTTTTTTGATAGGGCCAATTAGAAGGGAAAACAATTTGAAATTATATGCAATAGGAATGGGAATAATTACAAGCATGCCCTTGGATGAGATTATTTTTTTAATCTCTTTTTTTTTCTTATATTTTGTTTCTTGGTGTTTGATTTTCCAAATGGGAATAATTACAAGCATGCCCTTGGATTTTTTTTTTAATTTTTTTTTTATTAATATTGAATTCAAATTTTTTCGTGAATCAGATCAAATATTTTTGAGAGCACAATTTGAAGAGAAAATTGAGTAGTAGAAAGAGAGATAAAAAAACTTAGGCTTCGTTTGGGACGACTTTCTTACTGCTTTATAAAACAAATTTTTAGTACAAACTTAACATGTCCGAACTAAGGGATTCAATTGAAGTGGTCACATCTCCATGGAGGAGCACTTGCTAGAAAAGGAAAATGGCTGCATAGTAAATTGGTTCTTTCACTATAAGGGAAAGTGACCACACACTTGTCACCTTAATAGGAGACATCCAAACTCACTTGAGCATCAAATTTTGTTCATTCACCTTGCAGGATCCTCTATCAACCCTAAACTCTCGACAATTAAGGCCGCTCGACTAATGGTGACATTGTTGATCCAACTATAAGAAAACATACAACACAGAAGTCTGTAACTATGATTTCCTGGGCTAAGGCTAAGGTAGTCATCATTAGCTTGCAATCATGTTCATTTGTAATGACACGTTCTTTCGCTTCCAAAGATCTGATCATCTGAGTTGAATCCTATGAACTTTCCATCACGTATATATATAGAATTCACCTTTACATACTTCCCCTATACTTCCTATCTCGAGGACTTGCACAAAAACTGCCCAAGACACTCTTCTATGAAGACTTGCACATGGGACTTGCCTTGGAATAGAGGGCCATGTTAAAGGCCAAGGTCTATGTTAAGTTCAATCAACTAGGCCACATATCTAATACAATCTATAATAAAATCCTATAATATATTATACTTTCATTACTGTTTTTTTTTTTTTTTCTTTTAGATGTAGCTTTTCATATAGCCTTCCATACCTAATAAATAAAATTTGTAAAGAAGTACATTGGAAAATTAGAGATCTTTTAGTTTTTCTAAGATTCTATATTCTATGTTGTGAGACTTACATAATACGTAAATCTCTTCTTCCTCTCTGTACTCACTCAGTTCTACTCAGCTTCTAAGCTCTCATTTAGAGATTATTTGCTAGTAAAATTGGGAAATATCCATAAATAATTTTGAATGCAACATAAAGCTTAATAATTTTATGCTTCCCAAAGTCATATATTTTTCTATCTTAACTCTTAACGTATATGCGATATCTATGAGATTTAAAAGTTACAAAAGCATACATTTATATTTGATGCTGGTGATAATATTCGTAGCAATAGAGTAAGAGAATAAAACGTCTTAACAATGTACGTGTATCTGACACACCAATATATATTTGAGAGAGAGAAAAACACCATAAGTTTTTTACCTGAAAACCTGAAAAGGGAAAAACCATGGGGCATGGTCCAAATGAGAAAGTTTTACTAAGTTGAATGAATTACAAAGCTTGTTTCGCTTCTTTGCTTAGAGACTGAGAAATTACAATAGATTGAAAAGTTAGATAGAAAGAAGTTTAACGATGGTCGACGAACATACGGAAGTCTGACGATGGTCGAAAAATAAGTGGAAGTTCGATGGTGGTCGACGAATAAGAGGAAATTCGACGATGGTCGATGAATAGGAGGAAGTCCGACAGTGGTCGGAAAAAACTCCGCGGTGGTCTGCTGCAAGCAAGCTCCCAAATTCTTTCCTTCTCATCCATTCTATTTCCTTCCTATCCATGTGAAGAATGAGGCCATATTTATAGTTTTTTGAGAGTGACATGACTTATAAATATGGGGAGGATCAAGGTCAGGTTGAGAGTGTTCGGATGGATGATTGATATCAACTCCTTCGATCATAAACTGTTGATCGATGATCTGGGGCTCGTTCGTTTTGTCTCGTCGAGCCGCTTGATTCGACTATAAGAATGTCATATTCAACAATCATTTTAGCTATCCAATTAATGCTTTGAAGCCTCCAAATATGCTTTTGACCTTTGATTTGAGTTCATTTAGGCTCAGATTAGACTGATTTTGATGTCGTTGGGTTCATATCGCTGAGATGTTCAATTTGACTAAAAGCTTGTCGAATCGAGATTTGTGCCTGTTCAAGGTGAATATTTGATGACATATCAATATCCATCATGAAATTCATTCTTAAGAACGATTCGAAGAAAGTTTGCATCTACAATGAAAATTATCAAGCTTGTTAAAAAGAAAAAAAAAATGTATATTCAACAAGCGATACTCATAACAACGATTTTACAAAGCAATTGGCATAACATAAATGCTATTGATAAATGCGTCATCCATTATTAACATCAACAACATATTATGAGATAAATATAACAATGTTTTTAAAATTCACATCGGTAAATATAGCACTATAGTTTGTAGTTTATAGTGACATAATAAAGTTTATAAACAAATGTAAGAAATTATATTGGTTTAAGAGTTTAATTTCACTCTACTTAAATATTTTATATTATATAAGTAAATATTAAAATTTAAATGTTAAATAAATAAATATTGAATATTAAGTGGTATATATGTAAATTCTCTATAAAGTTTGTTTTTTACTTTGTTTGAGACTATTTTTTTACTATTTTCTAAAATAATATTGTAGTAAAAAAATTTTAATTCAAAAAAATTTTGTACTAAGAAATTATTTTAAAAATAATAAAAAATTTAGTCTATATTTTCTCTAGTTTTTTATAAAAAAAATTATTTATAATTCCACCGCAGTCCGCAGCAACGGAAATGGACGGTTAGATAACCGTCGGGTTGATTGCCTGCATACCTCCAATTTTTGAACCTTTTAAAGAGAAAGGGGCAATATTGTCTTTTCATTTGAAATTTATAGGATTTAAATATACTAATTATCAATGTTTTCTTGAACTGCCCCGTTATTCCTCTCCTCTTTCGCTCCCTCTTCCCACTAGAGTGAAAGGTTTTCGTCGGCCTTTGACGATGGAAGAAAAGCCCGAGAGGCTTTGAAAAGCGCGGGAACATAGAAGGATCGTCGGAGAGACGATAAAAAAATGAAGCTCCTGGGATACGAAGCAAGATTGATCGGTCGTTAGCCTTCGAGATCAGCGGGACCGCTGAGCTTTATCCCTTTCAATTCCGGTAAGAAATCTTTAGATCTTTTTTTTTTCTTCAGTCGTAGTAAAGAAGAAGAAAAAGAATGCTGAAGGAATTTCTGCATCAAGTGATTCGTTAATCCAATGTTTTCTTTATCTTTTTTTTGACCTTTCATTTTAGCTTTTTTTTTTCAATGATCCTTGTCGGTGACCAGAAATACATTCGTTGGTTCTCCACAACAGACATGGATAACTAGAGCCTAGAGGGGTTTAGTGATACCCCGGAAGAATTTTAATCTTTTTTTTTTTATCATTGCCAGGTGGAATTTAGGTTGATGATTGTTCTGTATTGGATTTGCACTACTAGTGCATTTCCTACAGTAGGAATCCAAAATATTTTACAAAGGGCCAAACCAATGAAATTTTGAAGGATATTTTGTGTTTCGTTGTCTTCAACTGTACTGTTCTGTATATTGCGTGACGAGGTGTTCGCTAATTTTAATTAAAATTGATGAGAATTATTGGATATATTACTATAAAACCTGAAAGTGTTATGCATATTAATTATTTAATGATAAAAAATGATACTATTATACAATTTAAATAAAATTAACTATTTGTGCAAAATTAATTTAAATAATAAATTGTTAATTAATTAAATTCAAAACAAATTGCATATTTTATTAGTCTTTTAATTAATTGCTTACTAGCCTTATGAACCAAGTTAGTTTAATAATATAATAATTAGTTAGTAGATATTTTACTGTACTAATAATTAATAATTAAATTAATTAATATATTACTGACTAGAATAGAATAATACATTACTTTGCCAATAATTAATCATTAATTAAATAACATATTTAATCTTTCATTTTCAAAATTAATCTGATAGGTTTAATACCCTCATTATTTTTGAATAAGTAATAATTTATTATTTAATGATTAATTAAACCATAATTAATTATAGAAATTTAATTATTAATGTATTAATGTTTAAAAGTGATATATTTTATATTTTCTAAATATCAATAATTGATATAACTAAATAATTAAATAGCCTAATTAATTAAGTTATTTTAACATCTTAATCAATAATGAATACCTAATTAGCTAGGATATTTAATTTAGTTATTAATTAATATATAATTAATTAAACTGCCTTTTATTTTAATCTTTATGAAACTATATTGCGAGCAATTTTTTTTATTTGCCTAATTATTAGCTTATGATTAATTAACATAATTTAAACCTTATTATTTTAATTAATCATTTTAGTTTAGCATTAAAATTGTTACTCAGTACTTAATTAATAACCATTAATAATTTTAGTTTACCAATTAGTTTATGTAACTAATATATAATTTTCAACTAAGTTTTGTCGTGGCATTTTCATCATAAAAAATGAAAAAGTTAAAATATGGACAAACACTTTTCTAAGATGCTAGTTTGAAGAAAATTATTTTTTAATTTGGTCAGAGTCAAACTTTTTTGCACGACAAGTAACATGCTTCTTACCAACATAAAAAATATTGATCCAGATTTCCTGAGCAACATAGCAGACAGCACAAAGCATTTGCAAACAAAGCCTCATGAAGAGGGATAAACTAGTAGTTGTTGAAAACTAGTTTGTAATCACAACCGTAATTGAGCATGCTGATGCCCATTTAGCTTTAGTGGCCAAGTTGTTTGTGAGGCGCAATAGAACTTTGTGCGCACTCAATGGCTTACATGAGTCAAGTTTGCATGTGTGGGTGACGTTGTTGGGGATGAGTGAGTAAAGCACCGCGATTAAACAAACTATTAAGTAAAGGAAGCTGAAAGTAAATGACATTAGGTTTTAACATGGAAAAATCCAAATTAAAGAAAAAACCACGGAGACACACCACACCAAGAAATCCCCACTATGAAAATTGGGAGAAATAAGTATAGATTTCTCCTCTTTTGCTCTCTCCTTGTTTCTCTTCTGACATGCACCATTCTAACTATCTCTATATCAAAATACAATAGAAAGCCGAGTAAATAATCCCAAGGGACGTAACCCTTCAGAAAAATGAGAAATAAAACCATCAAGTCCGTCTCGCAATGCTGCAGCGCCAGTTTGGAGTGTTGCGGCGCTTGAACCTATGTCTTGATCCACTGTGACGTTATATCTCGACCACTGGTGCTTCGCTCTCTGTCCTTCAGCGCTAGGGCGCTTGGGTACACCCTAACCCAAGTAGGGGGTAAACCCCCCGCATCCCCTAGCGAGCACGAGAAACTTAAGGTTCAAGGCAAAAGAACAACCCAATTGATCAAAACTACTAGATTCCACACATAACAAAAGTATAACTTATAAATTTACACAAGGACATTATAGCATATGTTGAATAACTACAATGCAAGTTTTTACAAACATCATGAGCGTTGATAGGTTCTTAATACATGCACCAAGGAGGCAATAATTTTGAGGTTGACAAATCTTTAGAACACGTAGAAATCTCGGGAAAAGTATGGACAATAGGGCCTTGACAAGTCGTGAACATACTCTACATGGCAGAGTTGTTTCTTCTTTGATAAAGGATCCTCGTCCCTGACTGAGTGGGGTCATCCCTATCAATGAGTAGTGGGGTATGACCTACCAATGTGTATGACACATGCAGTTCCTAATCGGCAGTTGTGGATGCCTATGTTGGACCTTCGATGACTTCAACTTCTTTTATCACTTTTCATAGCCCCAATAATTCAGAAGCAGAAAAAACAAAAAAAGAAACTTTGAGGTTGCCACTACTATCTTTCACGATCATGGTGAATGTGCATACCCACTAATTGATTCTAGAGAACTCCAAGGATACTTCTAAATTGTCTTGATGTTGTTGTCTTCAAAGATTTTTGGGGAGGTGATCATTGACCCACTATGGGTTTTTCTTCATTTTTTCCAAGCAATAGTGCAATTCTTCACAGTTGTACATCATTGATTACTTTAAGAGGTGGGGTCTTGGTCTTGGTAACTGTAGATCTTTCATGGTTAGTGGAGGAGTAGATGCACTTTCTTCTTGGTAGGCAGTGTCAAAAAAGGAGGCTGAAATTGGGTGCAATACATTAGTGGTCAAATTGGTTTTTAATCAAAAAGCATAAGCTTATGGATGAGTCAATCAATAGGTATTTAATCATGTCGATATGTTTCAACTACCTAATATTAGATTAAAATCAATACTCGCTTCTGCCCTAATAATATCAGCATTGTGTGAGACTTCTTTTTATTAATTATCACTTCCCTTAAGCCTCTTTTTTTTTTAAATCATCCATTATATGCATCAAGAGTCCATTTACTCATGTGAAACTTTGGTGAGAGTCACCCGCTTATGAACCTTACTTGAACATGATAGAAGTTATTGCCAAGGCTTAGGAGCCACAAATTACATGAACCACTAGAGGTAAACCTAACAATTAGTTAGGATGTTTGCACCACTAGTTATCAAACTCTTTTTTAACCCAAAAGTTTAAGTATATAGGTGAGGGCCAATCGCTTGATATTTCATCAACTATATATTTTTCACCTATTTTATGTGTGATTAAATCCATTACTCTTATATAGGACGTTTGCACCACCAGTATATTTAAACTAAATTGAATCAACTGACATTGGTTCGTTTTGTAATTCCATTTGGTTTTAACTTGTCTCTAAAAAAATAATGATTTGGATTGCATTGATTTTGTTTAGTTTTATTTAAATTAGTTTTATTTGTTAGTTAAATTTACTATCACCAACTAAAAATTCAATGATATTTTATATGTTTAAAATTCATGGTTAGCTTTTTTTTATTGGATGGCTTAAGATGTATGACGCATAGCGCTCTTTGGTTTGATGCAAGTATGTTCACATGTTCTTTAATCAAAACCTACACCAAATCTAACAGTCAATCTATGTAATATTATACACCAATACAACCAATATGAACCAAAATGTAACATTGAGTATAGAGCTTTGCCTCACCCTCTTATTTATAAATCGGGGTTAGAGTGTCAACCTAGGACATGAAGTAAATCTCAAATTCGGGCAATATAATTAGATCATAGAGCTCTCTTTATACATTTTTCTTATCTATCTCTCTCTTCCTCTTTATTAGTCATTTTTGTCATTAAGATTTAGGTGTTGGTGATGGAAAAATTTGAATTGAACATTCCCTCAAATCATATGCATTACTGGGAGTTTCATCTATTGTCTTATGTCTTTTTTTATTATGACTTGTGTAATACTCTCAAGTTATCAACTTAGTAAAACACTTCCCTAATATTCAATATTACAAGTTCACTACTCTAGTCGTAGCCACTGTAATATAGCTACTCACCGGAAGGCTAACATATGTGAAGTTAGCAACTGCTGCATGTAGGTCCACTATGTATTTGAAAGTCACCAACTTGTTTTTGATGTAATTAAAAAGTTACAGTTGACAAATCTTCATTCGATGTCAAGCCTTTGTTAGGCCACATCATACAAATTATTTAGTTTCTTACATGTAACATTTACTATGGAAAACCTAGAACGCGAAATAATCTCAAATTCTATACTTTCCGGCAATATAGTGAGATCATAGAGCTTCTCTCTACATATTTTTCCTCTCTCTCTCTTTATTAGTCGATTTTGTCATTAAAATTTAGGTGTTGCTCATGAAAAAAATTGAATTTAACATTCCCTCAGATCATATACTATATTGGGAGTTTCATCTCGTCTTATGCCTTTTTTATTATAACTTTTACTTGTATAATACTCTCAATTATATAAACTTAGTGGAATACTTCCCTAATATAGTAATATTCAATTTTAAAAGTTCGCAACTCTAATAAGTTGAGAGTCTTCAATGACACAGCTCATTAGTGCTGTTAATTTAATATAAATATTCCAATAATAGAGAAAAGAGAGGCTGTTAATTTAAGTCTTTAAAAAAAAAATCATTAAATTCTCTTAAATTCTAATAGGCCTGACTTGTCCAATAATAGAGAAAAGAGAGGTGATAGTGTGGCCTTATGTCCAGTCGAGGGGAAATTATTGGGTTCGGACACCGGACGTCGTCCAGAGCCCAATATAAATGCGCTACATCACCCCCTATTTGGCACGGAGCAATACTGCACGGTTCCAAGCTTGGTACTGCACGGTACCAAGCTCGGTACTGCACGGTACTGCTCAATACCAAACTCAGTACTTCACAGTACCGAGCTTAGTATTTCTCGGTACTGGTTAACGTAGCTGCACCTGATCGGTCTCCAAACGATAAGCTATGTCCGATGTACGAACCCAATAATTTCCCCCAGTCGAGAAGGTGCAGCCACCCGGTAAAGGTTGCCCAGCTGGTCAACTTTTATTGTAATTACTCAATAACATATAAACCTCTTGATTGAAAGTCCGGAGCGGCCTTTTGTTAAAGTCTGATCTAGCCTCGGGTATGCATAGGGCCATAGGCTGATGCAAAAAAGACGGGTTATCAGAAAAGGAGCGTGTTGAAACTACATGTTTATTCGATTCCTTCTCAAGGTTTATTTTCACACCTATTTAGCCACATGAGCATCGCTAATGATGATGGCAAAAAAAAAAGTTGTCCTAACACTTTTGGCTGGAATCTTTTTTCTTTTTTGACTTTTTTAAAGGGATTTCTCAGCGTTGAATATTGACCGTTATTTCTAGATTCTGCTTTGGTAAAGTTTGATTTTCTGTGCTGGTATGCAGTATATTCTATGTTCTCAATTCTTCTGATTGACCGGACACTTGAATTAAGCCCGTTTTCTCTTCAAAATTGCTGTCTTGTTTGTTCATACAATCGTATTTTGTGTATCATAATAACTGATTCTTATTATTGCAGTTTTTTTTTTTTCTGTTGACAGATCAATCTGAGTTAGGAGAGTGTCCAAAGTTTATGAAACTTCATCCTCAATGGATTTAATCTTATCACGTTCTTGGATGGAAAAACTCTGCATTTTTTTCCATCTCATGATTGCCTTACTGCCGTTTTCTTTCTTCCCGATCTCAAAATCCCGAGCTGTTGAAACCCAAGCGCTTCTCCAATTCAAAAGTAATTTGGAAGACCCCTTGAACTATCTGGAAAACTGGAAAGCTTCCCAGTCTCCCTGTACATTTTCTGGTGTAATTTGCGATTCCAATTCTGTGGAAGTTTTTGGAATCTCACTTGCAAACAAAAGCCTTTCTGGTGAAATCTCACCATCAATTTCTAGTCTGCGGAGTCTCAAATCTTTAGATTTGGGATCAAATTCAATATCCGGCACAGTTCCCTCTGAACTCGTTAACTGCACTAGTCTTCAGCTTCTGAACCTTTCATACAACAGCTTAAGTGGACAGTTGCCTGATCTTTCTCCTTTGAAGAACTTACAAATTCTTGATCTGTCATCGAATTATTTCTCTGGAAGATTTCCCGAGTGGGTTGGAAATCTATCAAAATTGGTTCATCTTGGTCTAGCTTTGAATAACTTTGATGAGGGAAAGATTCCACCGAATATTGGAAATTTAAAGAATTTGACATATCTTTTCTTGGCCGGATGTAATTTCACTGGAGGGATACCACCTTCAGTTTTTGAATTGAGAGAACTTGGAACATTAGATTTCTCCATGAACAAACTTTCAGGGAAATTTCCTAAGGAAATTACAAATATGATCAGCCTTTACAAGATTGAGCTCTACCAGAACAACTTAACTGGCGAGATCCCGCCTGAAATTGCAAAACTCACGAACTTGCAAGAAATTGACATTTCCCAGAACAAGATATCAGGGAAACTTCCAGCTGAAATGGGCAACCTTAAGAACCTTACAGTGATCCAGTTATTTCATAACAATCTCTGGGGTGAAATACCTAAAGGATTTGGGGATTTGAAGTTTCTCAAGGCATTCTCTGTTTACATGAATGAATTTTCAGGAGAACTCCCACAAAGTCTTGGTCGGTTCTCTCCTCTAAACAGCTTTGACATATCAGAGAATAACTTTTCTGGTCAATTCCCAAGATTCTTATGTGAAAACAATAATCTGCAGTACTTGCTGGCTTTAGAAAATAACTTCTCTGGTGAATTTCCCGATTCATATTCTACTTGTAAAACATTAATAAGGTTCAGGATCAGCAAAAATAATCTCAGTGGAACCATATCCGATGGATTATGGGGACTACCAAATGCTGTCATCATTGACTTCGCAGATAACAATTTCATGGGGCAGATTCCTTCAGTCATCGGTAGTTCAAGTAGTTTAACTCAGCTCTATGTGCAGAACAACAGATTCTCTGGTCAAATTCCGATTGAGATTGGAATGCTTTCCCAGTTGCAGAAGTTTTATGCTTTCAATAATTTCTTTTCTGGCTTCATACCTTCTCAGATTGGAAAACTCAAACAATTGACATCTTTGCATTTAGAAAACAATAAGCTGACTGGGCCTATACCATATGAACTCAGTACCTGCACTGAATTAGTGGAGATAGATCTTGCGCAGAATTCGTTAGGTGGTGTCATTCCAGAACCACTGTCCTCATTAACCTCTCTTAATTCACTCAATCTATCACAAAACCTGATTAGAGGGCTAATTCCTGAAGGTTTACAGGCTCTTAAGCTGAGTTCCATTGATTTTTCTAAGAACCGGCTGTCAGGAGCAGTCCCTCCAGGTCTTTTAATGATCGCTGGAAATAAAGCTTTTTATGACAATCCAGATCTTTGTATTGATGGAAGTTTAGAAAGCCAATGGAGGGAGGGTTTGGGAATTTGTAGTTTTAGTGGCAGACATGGATATGTCCTAGGAAAGAAAACTTTTCTTGTAGCCATTATATTATCAATCTTGTTTATACTTCTGACTGGATTGGTGGTTGTGAGCTATAGAAGCTTTAAGCAGGAAGAAGCCAGTAGGAGGAAGGATTTGGAGAAAGTTATAGAGAATGATGGAAAGTGGAAATTGGAGTCTTTTCATCCAACTGATCTTGAGGTCGAGGAAATCTGCAATTTGGAAGAGGTTAATTTACTTGGAAGTGGGGGTACTGGCAAAGTTTATAGACTAGATCTCAAGAATAAAGGAACAGTGGCAGTTAAACAACTATGGAAAAATGATGGCGCAAAGGTTTCGCTTGCAGAAATAGATATCCTTGGAAAAATCAGGCACCGAAACATACTCAAACTTTATGCCTCCTTATCAAAAGATGGGTTGAATTTTCTTGTTTTTGAGTACATGCAGAATGGAAATCTGTACTGTGCTCTACGCCGTGAAATCAAGGTCGGCCAGCCAGAATTGGACTGGAACAAACGGTATAAGATTGCAGTTGGTGCTGCAAAAGGAATCATGTATCTCCACCATGATTGTTCCCCAGCCATCATTCACAGAGATATAAAATCCACCAATATCTTACTTGATGAGGAATATGAAGCCAAAATTGCTGATTTTGGTATAGCAAAAGTCATAGAAGACTCAGATTTGAGTTGTTTTGCTGGCACTCATGGCTACATGGCTCCTGGTAAGTTTGCTAATTATTCTCTGTTATTTCTTTTCTTCCAAACATTGGAAAATAATGTTTTATCCTGATTTGCCAGCTCCTAATAAGTAATCAACTGCTCTCATGATGCTTCTCGGTAAATTCCTGTGTCAGGTTCCATTTGATAATAGTATTACTAAACCTGGATTATTTCATTTTTCATCTGTTCACTACTTGTGCTTTTGAAGTGAGCAAATTTTCAAACTCCATAGATATAGATACTTATATGATACTATTAGCCTTAGGGACTGTAATTAGATTTTCTTCTATCCCAAGCTTTCTTCTGTTTATCCCTCTTAGAACTTACTAGTTCTGTATAATCAATTCTCAGAATTGGCGTACTCTTTAAAGGTGACTGAGAAGAGCGATGTTTATAGCTTTGGTGTTGTTCTTCTTGAACTTCTTACTGGCCACAGCCCGATTGAGCCTCAATATGGCGAAGGAAAAGATATTGTCTACTGGGTTTCTTGTCATCTTAATAGCTCTAAAATTCGCGAAATTCTCGATCCTCGTATCTCAAAAATTGCAGAAGAAGACATGATGAAAGTCTTGAAGGTTGCCATCCTCTGCACTACCAAGTTGCCATCACTGCGGCCAACTATGAGAGAGGTGGTGAATATGCTTATTGATGCTGGTTCAAACGATACAAGAGAGAAAGTCAAGACTTTTGGTAAGAAATCCTAGCTCTGTTCAGTAGGATATTCTTTTCCTGCTACTTTAGGGATATTCCTGGAAGTATTTAACTAGACTAAACTAGGTTTTGGCTTGTAGTTTTGTGTAACATATTGGCCTTCCTATCAAGTTTTCTTTGAATTGCATGCATTTCTATGATTTTTTGTAAATACTTAATATGTAGTATTCATCCTCTTTTGTTTAAAAAACGTGAGAATGAGACCTATCATTGTGAATTAAAATAAGAATGGTAAATTCATTCTGATATATTTACTTGGTATTTCATTAAGAGACGAGGACACATAGATGCTTATTTTGTCGTTGAAGTACTTTGTAGATGTAGAATCTGACTTCGTTTGGGACGGCTTTTTTAGTGCTTCTTAAACCAGTTTTCTAGTGTAAAAATAGAAATTTCTGTATTATAAAGATGCTTTAAGAAGCTATAAGAAAGCCGCCCCAAACGAAGCCTTTGCCTCTTCTTATCGGCATAGACCATGAGTGGTCGATTGCTTGAACATATGAGATTTCTTTTGGTCTCGAAAAATTCTCTACTTACTAAGAAATACTATTAACGAAAATTACGAAGTGTTGAGCTCTATAGTCCAGAGATTTTTACTTGCAAATTTTGCATTTGTGGACACAACCAAAAGTTTATACACAAATATGTATAAACTCACGATTGGTTTTTCATATATGTATTTTTTGCTCAAAGTTCAAGGTAATATCTCTTTTTATTTTTCCCAATGCATTTTGGAACTATTAGCGTATGCAATCAAAGCCCCTCCATGTATTATGGCAAGATTTGCTCATTGCATTTCACCTCATTGATCCATGTACATTCTATGTATCATGAGAGGACCAAAAAGAGGTCAGTTATGCCAAGGCAAAACATTAGTGGAATATTTTTCTATTCTAACTATTTTGACTCGTGATAATGTGCAAGTTTCCCAAATGATTTATAAATGAGGATGAGTTCCTCAATTGTACTTAAATAGTGAGTGAGTTCCCCAAATATATTTGAGGAAGCGGGGCGAGATCTCTAAGTCATCATTTTATCATATTTGATGCTTGCTAGCTTATATTTTGCTTATGATAATTCTTCTTATTCGACAATCTCATGGAGGATTTGCCGGACAAAAAACTTGGGAGAATATTTTCTTGACTGAGTTTGCAGTTGGTGTGATCTATACTCAACAATGCCTCTTGATCCTATAGCCCTGCTTCACATAGTGTTTGACTCTTGGTCTCTAGCATCAATCCACATTCATCGCATGTAAGAGTTTGGCCTAAACTTCATGCTGATACTTGAATCACGACAAGGAGCGCTCATCTAAGGAGAACAAATACAATTAAAACTATGGGTGTCAATTTTTAACTTGACCTGAAAATCTAACCCAAAAATTTTGGGTATGGGTCAACCAGTTTGAAAAATAGAACGGATTCGGGTTTCATGTTATGATTTGATTGCAATTTTCAGTTGGGTTCAACCCGTGCTCGTTCGTCTCTCTTGTCGCGCATCACACTCTAGCTCACCCGCTCGCTGCTCGCTAGCCCCATGTGCTCGCCAAAATGCTCTTGTTCGCCCACTCGGCCACCCGCTCTTGGTCACCGATTGCACTCAATCAGGTTAGCAGATCAGGCCGAGTCGGATCAAATCGGGTTAAAGGTGGGTCGGGTTCGGGTTAGAGTTTGTGATCCATTTAGTTAATCAGGTTGAGTTTGGGTCGGGCCAATTGAAGATGGGTCAATTTTGGGTTGTTCGTAAACCTGCCCAAAAACCCATTTTGATTCCCCTAATTACAATGGATGCAAAGGAGGAGCTAATAAAAAATAAGTATCTATTTTAGAATATGAAGCTTTGAGTGATCAATTCTAAATCTAATACTCAACAATGAATGAATGCCTATAGAGTCAATAAGATGAACTCATATTTAGATTTGAAGTCTATAGAGTAAGTATTAGCACATATGACAATCTTTTTCTAGAGATAGTTATTTCGTTGAAAGATAAATCAAACATTTCGCAGTATGACTTAACATAACATAAATTTGACCACTAGGCCATCAAAAGAACACAACTCTAAGACCATTGTGCTTGATGTTTGACATTCTCTCATTTCATTCTCAACAGAATGACTGATCAGGATTGCTCACCTTAAAGGCACATAAACAATGGGAGTGAGTATAGCTTAGTGAAAAATACTAAAACATTAAATAATACGCTAATTAAGAGTATCACCTTAATGTATTTAAAGAACACCCGTTCAAGCGCTTAGCTAGTCATATAAGAGCTCGACTAAGTCAACTCAATGCATATTTTCACGCTAATTCTTTAATTCACACTTTATTGAATATCATACATAATTATATCTTAAAAATGCACCGTACGTCACATTCAGATATTGCATTGTCCACTTTGAGGGGAGAAAGGGTGAACATTGAAGTTGGTTTACATGCTAATGGTGGCTATAGAGAGTTAAAGAGGAAAAAAGAAGGCAAGAAGAATAAAGCATGGAGGCAACAACAAAAAAATTTAAGTTGTTGAACTTATCAAATGTGCCCACTTTGAGGGGAGAGGAAAAAAGTTTACCGTTCTTAGGAAAGAAGAGGAATATACATGCTGTCTAATCTCTCTAGCTCATTATATCTCATGTTACAAGAGCACATCTCAACACATTAAATTGCTAAAGGACAAAATTGAAGGTGATTAATTGATAATAGTTAGTCATTGGATGGTCTGATGTTTGAATGGTAATTGGCCCTAAAAGCAATGTTGAGACATGATAGAGGCCCTAAAAGTGTGACAATTTGTTCATATGAGAAATGACTTTGTGATATCATTGGAATGATTGGATCGAGCGGCGATGGTTACACGAAATTTAGAGCAAAAAAAAAAAAATTTGTGGAGTTCAAAGAGAATAATAAGTAGGAAAGGGAAAATGATTTTGAGTAGAAGTGTAAGGATTGTTCCTATCGATAGCTCCTAGATGATCTAGTCGTCTTAGAGGAATATAACTGTGTAGTGAAGGATTGTGAATGTTGACCAACAAAATCATAGTTCAAAATAGCTGAGAAATGTGGTTCATTCTGATTATTTATAATGATAAAACTAACATTCAAAATAGTAGCGCACAAAATAAGGTGTTACATCACGATACACATTCTTAAACAATTTGTGATATTTTCTAACAAGTACGATGCATGACTCACTCTCCCTCATCAACATTTATGTAATACACTCAAATAGTAATGCCATAAATCAAATAATGAAATAATCAAAGCTCTTAGACTTTCTTTGAGATAGATTTTTTACTGTTTTTTAAAGAAGCTTTCAAAAATTTTACACTAAAAAATTATTTTAGAAAAAAGTAAGAAAGTTATCCCAAACGAAACTTTAATTATCATCCCTATTGGAGAGAGTCATTAAGCTTTTTCTTTGAAGCATTCACTTTTTTTCTTTTTTTTTTCAAAGATTGAGTGTAAATAAATATTTAATTTATAGAAATAAAACTTAGTCTCCAAATATTGAGATTAACTCTTAAAATTTTAAAAATTAAGACTTTATTTGATGCAGCTTTCTCATAATTTACTTTTCGCACAGTTATTATGGTCCTATTTTACTGCACTTTTTTTTTTGGTGAAGGAAAGCTTCCTTTTTTTTTAATCGGGTCTATTATAATGCGATATATGCAAGATAATTATTATCTGATTTTTTTAATATAAAAAATTCAATACTTAGAACAAATTAAAAAATCTACTCTCAAACATATCATATGGCGCTCTTGAGGGTTACTTCCCATCTTCTTCTGGACTTAGGCAGGGTTGCCCTATGAGTCCCTATCTTTTCTGTATTGTTATGGATGTATTCTCCAACCTTTTAGAAGCCAGGGGTTTTAAGGGTATCACTTTTAATGGATACTCCATATCCCACCTGCTTTATGCTGATGATGTCCTAATTTTTGGGGAAGCTTCACTTGAGAATTGTGGTAAGCTGGTGGCTATTCTTAAAGAGTTTGCTTATTTGACGGGTCTTCACGTCAACTATAACAAAAGCGCCATTATGTTCCCTAAGCATGTGCTGAATCAGAATGACTTTTGTAATGCTCTTTCCATACATAACATCACTACCAAGATCTCTTACCTGGGCATTCCCCTATCTTTCTATAGGCTAAAAATTGAGGATTATATGCCGTTAATGGATAGTATCAACAAAAAGTTTACTGGTTGGAAGGCCACTCTACTATCCCTTGCTGGTAGGCTTCAATACCTGAAATTCACTATACAAAATACTATAGCATACTGGATCAGGGGGGCTATTATGCCCAAAGCTGTGCACAAATTTATTAAGAAGTCTAGTTCTAAATTTCTATTTTTTGGGGATGTAAATGCGGATAAGAAGCTTCACATGATTGCTTGGGATAAAGTTTGTCTTCCTTATTCTAAAGGTGGCCTGGGTATCACATCTATTCCGGCATTGCAATTTTCTTTTAATTGCTCTCTGATTTTGCGGCTTTACAATAGCTACTCTCCCTTATCTGCCTGGGTGTTTAGTAGATATAAATCTCCCTGGAGGCCACCGCCGGCTGTTGCTTCCAGGTTCTGGAAATCTATATGCCATACGGCCTTTGCTGCTAAACATTGTTTCAATTTTATATTGGTTAAACACGCCCCTATTTCTCTGAAATGGGATCATTGGATTGGTGGTAGCAACTTATGTGATCTTTTTGGGGTTGATTTCTTGGCTACTCTCCCTGATGTTGCGGTATCTCATTTTATTTCTGATGCTGGTTGGCTTTTACCTGATAGCTTCTCTTCCAGCTTAAAACATGCTATTTCGGGTATTAACGTATGTGCGGGTGAGGGGCCCTGCCTGCTTTGGTATGACAAGGTGAAGAGCAATTTTAAAAACTATATGGTGGAGTTTCATTCGGATAGATTGGACTGTAGCTGGTCTAATATGATATGGCATAAAAGAAATGCTTTAAAATTTTCTGTCTTTGCTTGGTTGGCTAATGTGGGGGGACTTAAAACCGCTGATGCTCTTCGTGTTAGGAATATTGTGATTTCGCCATTATGCTGTTTATGTCATGTTGCTGACGAATCAGTCTCCCATTTATTCTTTGAATGCCAATATTCCTTCTCTATACTTTCCGGCATTATTCATGGAATGAGTAACTTTCTGCTAAGGCCGAACCTATCACAGTTATATGACTGGCTTAATGGGGAGTATAACCAAAATTTGGAGACTTTAAATTTTTATAAACTGGTGG